GGATGCTTATATTGTTTTCATCTACAGCTACATCCACACCCACACCCCAAGAATTAGACTCAAATACACAGTTCGTCGAAAAAGATACGATCAATACAGATCAATGAGAATCTTGCAAGAAAAAGGAAATATTATCATTACAGACTGTTTACAAAACTCAAACGACACTTCCATGAAATATAATGAGAATTATTACTGCATCTAACTGATACAAATCTGTCTATCAGAAAACCTAATTAGTGATCAGAGCATATGTAGGCGTTAAGTCATCTACGTTTTGATAAGCCTAAGAGACAAAACATGATTTTAATAATATAGAGCAATTGCTTCCTGTCATTAAGAATGTTCTTGTTGATATACTTTATGAACAGAGCTTTGAATTGTACAGCGGAACGAGCATTAAACATATGCATTGATCTAACGGTTATTGACCTTTTCAAAAGAGAATACATGATCATACTATGATGAAATCTGAGATAGTTGATACAACATGATAATGGTCTTGGTTTCTTTTTATCTGGAGAACATTTTAGATAAGCCAACTACCAAGTTGTTTATAACAACACGGATTGCATCACAATTGTGACTGTCACAAACACGTGTATCCAATGTAATCAGAAGGTAATTTGTTATTTTCGTGTTAAAAGTATGAGTTCATAAACTGAGCTACCGCAGCCGGAAGAGGTCTCTAGATATTGCAGCTTTAAAACTTGCTACTTCTTAAGATTATTTTTCGGAAGTGATCTTTTTGAACTTTTTATCAAAATGTTTTATATTTCCATTAGAAAAGTCTTCAAGGCTAAGAAATTTAAAGAAAAATTATTGAAAATCGTCGAGCGATGTTTCCACTAACATATTTCTTCGTTGGTTTCCATGAGATTGAAGAAGAAATATTGACTTGTTTCCTGAATAATCTGATCTTACACAATATTATGTTTTCAATCGAGTATGAATTTCGAGTCTCACTTAAAAGAGCTGGCATTGAATTCGACCGACTTCTGATGTCAACTAATCACATGAGAAATGTTACAAAATCATTGCCTCTTATCAAACTATTCTGCACTCGGAATAGTAAGGGAATCTGTCATCATTTATTTATTCTCTTACTCATTTATTTCGTTATCTTTCAAAAGCTATTGTATTTTCTACACTGCGCTCATGACGATAATAATAAATGAATGATAATGAAGACAACATTTATTACAATAACGACTTTGACATTGATTACATTCGCGCACACTAGGGAAATAATAATGTTTATCTATTATTGTTTGTCCAAAATAATCATGCAGAGTTAATCATATGAATAAAGATCATATCACCAATGAATGAATCTCAAATTTATCACAATTATTACATTGATATGAAGAATCACCATGATGCTCGCAAGTATGAGAAACATCTTGTTCATTCATTTTACACCTTTTAACATAAAGTTTTGAAAATCACCATATGAGAGATGATCACAAGAGAAACAAAGAAATCCAAAGAATAATACATCCTTTGCAATAAGGTGGTGGATGATTACCACGACAGTGATGCATGTTTTCCAGTATTTTGCTTGTTTCAAAACGTATCTAAGCGTAAGTAAAAAAAAGTCATGATGATCTCATATTAGAACAATTTTGATTGTTGCAAACGGCTTGTTTAGTAGTGTCGTTCATTGAGAACTAAAGAATAATACTTCGCAATATTATCAAAGATTGCATGACTAGTGAACGTCTATAACCCTTATTTTGACATTCAAAGTGTCCTTCAATTATTTGTGGTTTGGTCGCCATTGATACACGAGGATCTAAATATAAATGCAGATTCAGTCATCTATACGGGATAATCTTAGAAAGTTATTTTTATTGTTCACAAGTATCGTGACAGATTCACATAAAATATGTTGTTTTCATCTGTTCAGATTTCACCGTAATCACAAGAGATTTTCTTAAATATTTTATAATTCAAGAAAAATAGAGAGGCTAAAGTATGTCTATGCTCCATAGTTACTTACACATCTGTCCTACTACATGTACAATCGCTGAACCAGTTTCATTTACCATGATCACTCTTACTACATCTAGTTTTATACCAGGCCATAGCATTACTTCCTTGGATTGATTAGCTGTATAATCAGATAGTGATTTTCCATTTACAGACTTAAAACCAACAATAATCAACTTTGTACCAACATTTGTCTGCAGATAATCTACAATACCAGTGTTCGATGGTGAACATGAAGTCATAGTAGAATATAGCGATGATGACTCTGAAGCTAATGTCTCTTTGATTGCCTCATCATAAAGTGCCCCTTGCCAAATTTCACCCTTTGTATTAGGTAATTTATCAAGTGCACTTTTGAATAATTTCAGATATTTAAACCATGGCTTCATTTTAGATCGATCTTGAGATCTCCATGCTGCTTGCAAATGATCATAGAGGCATTGGTCCTTCCATCGCATTGTATAAATGTAGATAGAAGCTGATTCATCACGAGTAAGCTTATATTCTGATGGATAATGACACTTAGCTTTAGCTTCTTCAATATTGTAAGACAAATGATCAATTTTAGCATCGAAAGGTTTAAGAGCTTCCTCGAGGGACACAAGTCGTTCATCGAGATAGTCGTTAATAAGTCGCAGAGGATTGGTTTTAATAATGCCAATTTTACAAAATTGTTCTATTATGGATTTTTCTCGCTGTATATGTGCACTTTCGCTTCTGGTCAATTCATTATGAGGTTCAGGGCGCATAGGTGACCTATTACTTCTATATTTGTCAAAAGTATATTGATGCTCCGTGGTTTCAACATTATCATTGCTACACACGCCACCCATTTTTCTTAATAAAACATGCAACTGTTTAGGAATCGATTCTTCGCCACAAGACTGCAAAGAAGTTGCTTATGTAAGCATTGTCACTTTCACTTTGGCCACATTAAACAAACGGCAAGAAAGAGTAAACATTCATTTTGTTATGACAATTTTCACTGTGAATAAAAGCATTTTATGTAAACATCTCCAGCGTAAATGAAAATAAGTGTAAAATTTTCTTCTCATTTTTCAATCAAAAACAAAATACTTTCACTTTTAGTAGTCAATAAATGCATTTGAAAATTTGAAACGCGAGAAAGCAACAAAATGCAACTCATTCTCGAAAAAAATACAGCTTTCGAGTAGAAAAAATTTCATACTGATAGCGAATGGAGCTATCGCAAAACATTTTGCAATGATAAACTTCATTTTAATAAACCTTCAGTTGCTCATCTCATTGGTTGTATATATCCTTTAGTCCATAGCAATTTAATTTTGGGTATTATTCGCAGATATTCAGTATGATTCAATAAATATCCGCAGCTTTTCTATATCTAGAGGGAGTCCAACAGTAGCTCGCGCGTGCATATGGGTGTGGGATGTGGGTGTGGGATGTGGGTGTGGGCGTGCGTGTGGGGTGTAAGTGTGGGTGTGAGCGTCGGTGTAGGTGTGTGAACAGAAGACTCTGATTCCCACCTACATCCGCCATCCCACCTACACCCACCATCCGACCCACACACCCAAACGTCCACAGGCCATACCCACCCAAACCATTTTGATCTTATTGTCTCAGCTATGTATGGAAGAATGTGTTTTTCGAGTCGTAGAAAACCATTGGAGGATATCTTTTTTACTAGTATAGATTTGAGAGAAGACAATGTAATTAATATAAAATAACATAAAATGATATACGCAATGATGAAACCTACTCAGAATGGAATAAACTTCATCGTGGAATGTATCTACGATATGTAATAAGCGAATATGTGGAAAGCCAGTCAGATAAATATCATTCTGATCAGCATAAATTAATTGCAGTCTATCGATACAATTGCCTAAAAATTCTATGGACAGATCACAGCTTCTTAAAGTTCAAGGGACAGTAAGAGGAAGATGGTTGAACGAACGTAGAACATCATCAATCCGTTGGTTGAGTCAGAAAAACGCTTGGTAAATATGCCGCACATTCAGATAGCATATCATCTCGGGCCAAAGCTCATTGAAAAGATCTTCGAGTCTGGTAAGTGTATCACCGTTTGTTAGAGTTCCTTCTTTCCGTAGAAGATCTAATGATCTAAAAATGAAGCATAAGAATTGAGTGACACTGACGAATATTGACTAACCGTCGTAAGATGTCATCTATGTGATTGATGTAATTGTATATTGTTTCAGATGAGACCTGAAATGAATAACCATGTTCATACGATTTTTTCTCCGTCATAGAACCACAAGTCTATACTAATAACAATGTAAATTCTATTCGACGATAGTGAAAGATACAAATATGAAACCTAATACAAGGCGCAGTGTACAGCAATACTTAGATATTCGTAGTCCTGAAAAAATCTCTGTAAACTCAATTGTTTTTCTCCCTTTGACTTGACGCATTTTGATATAAAATAGAATGCATGCCATCTGAGATAAACAGTGAGTTATTTTCATTGATAAGAACATCTAATTGACAAGCATGAGGACTCGCGAGATCTATGAATATGATTCATTTCCAATAGGGTGTGGGTTAATGAGAAGGGAAACATCCACATCCACACCCACACACACTCACATTGTATTATTATAAAAAGTGAGAAAACTTTTCTTCGTTGACTAGTGAGATATTTAGAGAGTGATAGGCCGATCATCTCTTCTCTCCTCCGTTTCATGTGAAATAGCTAAAACTCATCTGAACATTTGAGGACTATTATAAGAATAATTTTACGAAAACGCATTAGTACTTCTCTTAATCAATATTTTTGATAGTATGCTTTCCTTTAAATTTCTATATCTCGTCAAATATTGATTGAAACATTTAAAGATAATTCATGGATATAAGAAATATCAATGATAGTCGATTTATTCTTTTATTTATTAACATTCAAATAGATATTTCATTTTAAAAATAATTTACATAATTTACTAATAAGAAAAGAATCAGGTTGACTTTCAGCATAACAAATCAAGGGAAAAAGCGGAACTTTAAGTGTGATTCCGACTATCGAAAATAATTGATATTCATCGAAAATGATATTGGGACGTCTAATACAATATTCAATAAGAAAGTCAAAAAAAAAGAAATGAAACAAATAAATCTTCGACTCACTACCGATGAACATTCATAGATGTTATGCGATAATCGTTATCCGCCAATTCAAACCATTTATATAAAACGGCAAATAGAATATAAACAAATATCAATGCCACTTCTTTTATCAACAAAACAATTCCGTATATATATCTTCCTTCTGGTGCATATGATTGCAATTGAATATTTGACTCAATCATGCGAATGAAATTACGAAAACAAGGAGAGAAGATGAACAAACCTACAGAGAAAAGCTTGTTAGCGCAGCTCCTGCGGAGCTGAAATGTGGAACTCACATATATCCTTAAACCTTAATATTCTAATACATCATATGTAAACTGAAAAATTCCGTGTACACTGTAGTTGTTTTCATTGATAGTCAATGACAAGAGCGACACTTTGTTATTTATTTCTTCATTTAAAACAGAATTTTTTTTTTTGTTTCAGAGCGCCCTATTTTTATTTTGCATTGTTGCTATTCGCTCATTATCTTTCATTTTTTTAAATTCGTTTTTCGTAATTCAACATTCTTATTATTATAATCATTGAATTAATTAGCAAACAAATCTGTTTCACATATCCATGATATCTACAGAAGATCTTATGCACTATTATATATATTAATCAGCTCACAAACACTGATGTTGATTATCTTTCAAAATTATAACTTGATCAATTTTTCAAAAAAAATTGAAAGTCTGACGCTTGTTATCCTTAATTGCTAAGGTCTGTAATGGGAGGGGGGGGGAGGCACCAAACCTCGAACATAAAACTTACACTCACCATTTTCTTCGAAAATATATGTGAGTTTCGTAAAAGAGAAAAAAGAGGTGGAGTGGGAAGTCAGACTTGTACATAAGTAAAAATGAATAATGATAATCGACCGAAGCCGAAGATCGAAATTCTTGATTGACTATGTTAAAAATTTGACATCTGGCTACATCTATAGTAATCAATCAATGCATCAGAATCACTTCGGCCTTCAGCTTCGACTTCTTCGGCCGATTATCATTAGCCAGTATAAATATTTCTGTTCGTTGTATTTTGACATCTGTCTCGATATCCTTTTTATTGGTCGATGATCATGCTATCCAATGAAATTTTTTATCTATTCTGTCACCAATTAGAAAGAAAGATGTATTATGTGTAAAAATATCCCATATTTATTTGTAGGTATTTGATTTTGTCGATCAATGTAGATGAATATAATTCATTGTGAGTATTCTAAATAAATTTTTAACTTCAATTGAACTTAACTCATTAGAGAAATAACTAAAACTGAATAAAAGAAAAACTCGTTTTTTACATATATAAAATGTTGTCTAGGACACATTGCTTATCTATATTTTTTGTTACACAGAATGAAAAAAAATGCGCCTTCGACTCATGTGTGGGTTTCTGAGTACATTTCAATATTCTCTCCTTCTATCGTTTTTCTTTTATTAAAAAGAACAAAACTTTTTTTTTTATCTCTCAATGTTGATTCTTTTTCTTTTTCTTTTTCTTCTCGTACACCCTGCATATTATTCGTGGGTAGGTTTATTTCTCATAGCTAACAAGTAAGTATAGGATTAGTGATATAATCAGAAAATATTCCTAAACACAATTGAATCTTTTCTTTTTATATAACTAATAGAACTCCGATTAGAATCATAATTTTCATTGGAATATCAGAAAATCTGTAAGAAAAAAAAATATGATGAGGAGAAAATAGTTATGCTTTTTACAATTTTTTTTTACCGTTCTCAATTTTCTAAAGATTAATTAAAGAAATTTCGAAATTTTCCTTCATGATTTCTATTGAAAACCATACTTCTAATATTGTTCGTTTATTTACTAGATTTTATCAAATAAAACCGTTTTTTATCATGAAAAACTTATCATCAAAAAACTCTACGAATAAAAAGCGGCAATCAACAATAGAGACAAGTGGATGTAAAGTTTGTGGAGCACCAGCTCAATATTCATATTATGGTACTCTTGCATGTCATGCATGTAAAGCATTTTTCAAACGAAATGCTAAACATGGACAGGTCATTTGAAAATATTTATTCTCTTTTTATTACATTTCTTATCTTTTGTTAGGAAGTATTGAAATGTGATTGGGATGATAATTGTGAAGTAAATGTGAATAATCGTCACGTATGTTCTTATTGTCGACTTATGAAATGTTTTGCATGTGGAATGCAAATTAACATGTTTCGATCATTTCATCAAAAAAAGAAAGAAACAAGTCAAAAAAGAAAAGCAATGGACGATCACCTAGAAACACCATCAACAACTTTGCTTCAATTGACTCAACCTGAACAGGTAATATTATTTGATTATCATACTTAAGAATGTAATTACTATTGGTATGAATAAAATCTTACAATTTGGATCATTATTTATCTCAATCGATTATAGTCTTCTAGAAAATGATAAAACTCTAGTTAATTTCAAACTGACTGCCTATGAAGACTTTTCTTTTCCAGATTCTTCGACAATCCCTAAACCACATAGAATTTGATGAGCAAAATAATCCTCATTATAAATACAGGATCCTTCAATGTTTCCCTTCTCAAAGAAGTTTAAAGTGTAAGACTTTACAAAAATTGAGTCTAGGACAATTGAACGACGTCAATTGATCATAATGCTCAAAAATGCAATTAAAAAGACATTTTTATTAGTTTTTCAAAGAAATAAATCAGAGAAGTCCACAAAGTATAATCATCTATCTATCGAATGACAAAGAACATCAAATATGACTATAAATAAGAATAGTTCATAAATTCTTCTATTTGTGCATGAAGTATTACGCCACATTAAATAATAGTTGCTTTAAAATCTTTGCATAACTCAATATAATTGTTCATTATATAGAGACTTTTATTTGCTGCGATTTTCATTATTTTGCGATTAATACAGTTTTTATCTTCTCATAATACTTCAAAATATCTAACAGGCAAATGATAAAATACAATTGTCGTTTACCAATATAGTTATCTACTTTTCAGATCCATAACAAACATCTTCATTTTTTACATGTAAATCGTCTGCTAAGCCTCATCCCAAGTTTCACCATCACACTGTACTCGGTTGTATGGTTACATCATATATTTGTAAATGGAAACTTTATAGAACTAAGTTTCTGTTAAACATGCGACCGATTCTACATTGTGACTACTTGCCGTAGTGCTCAATTGATGCTCTCCCTAAAAACTCCACTGATGTTTTCTTTCTTGAAGAAGTTCATTTTTTATTTTTGTTAGGACTTAGATTCTTTCTATAACAAAATCAAAATCTAATTAGGATGGGTAGGTTTTTTTTTGTAAAAATATCGCTCCTCATGTAATAAAATAATGTATTTTTTCTAGTGCTATTAGTTTGATATTAACCGTTAAAACCTGTACTAAAAATGATTTTTCTAAGAAGAATAAAACGACGTACTTCAATAAGTAAAAATCTATTAAAATAATCGTATATTCAAATTTCTTGGATTCCAATCGAATGACATCTAAAATTACTACTGAGACAGAAAATATTTCCTCTAGAATTATCATTACTATTTATAATCAACAAAATCAAATCAAATATTAGCAAATGTTGATTTTTAATTTGTATTCAACTTGACATCTTAACTAGTTACATATCAATCATCTTGTTCGTAATTAACAT